TGCAAATACCAGGCGTCACTGGTCTCCGGCCGACTATTTATGGCACTCACTTCAATATTCAATATCGAAGACATTGCCTTGCAATACTAGCGATCACCTTGTTAGTCTTCCCGTGGGATTTCTCATACTGTGGAGCCATTTCAAGCAACTATGATCAGTGATAACCTTCAAGTGATGACCTTCAATGTACGGCCGGAACTTTCCAATAGCCCATACCACTGCCAAGCACTCTATCTCGGAGACTGTATAATTCCTTTCAGCGCTGTTGAGTGATCGGCTGGCGTATTCTATCACACGTTCCTCTCCATTGACATCCTGCGTGAGCACTGCCCCGATCCCACTGTCACGGGGTCAGTTTGTAGTACAAACTGACCCCTAGGATCGGGTGGTTCCAATATTGGGGTGGAAGTCATCGCCTCATGCAACTTCGTGAAATCTCGCCCTTGCTCTTCCTCCCAAGAGAAACGTACATTCTTCTTTGTCAGGCGGTTTATAGGTTTAGCGATCATGGCAAAGTCAGGCATAAAACGTCTATACCATGACGTCATTCCCATGAATCGCTCAACCTATTTGATACTCCAGTATCGGTCTTATCTTCTCGGGATCTGGTCTTACTCCGTCCTAGTTCACAAGAACTTCTAAGTACCTGACTTCCGTCTTACAGAAGTGACTTTTGGCTTTGTTGATGGTTAGGCCTGCACCTAGAATTCTCTTTAATACCATTTCTAGATGCCGCTTACGCTCCTCCAATGACGACGAAACCACTATTAAGTCGACGAGGTAACCAAAAGCGAGTGGATCCATATCCGGGCCTATCACTTTATCCATCAACCTCTGGATGGTCGCTCCTACGTATGCCTGTCCGAAGAGCATTCTCTTGAATTGAAAGTGCCCTAATCCAGGTACTATAATCGCCGATATTGGACGCGACTCTTCCTTTAAGGGGATTTGATGGTACGCACTACTCAAATCCGGCGTAGATATGAACTTTGCATCCCTTATCCATCTCAGGTTGTCGTTTATATATGGTAAAGGATAGGCATCCGGTTTAGTGATTGCGTTTACCTTTTGGTAATTCACACAAAACCTATACTTTCCATCAGCCTTGTTTCCCATTGCCACTGGACTTGACCATCCGCTGGTCGCTGGTTCGATTACATCTTTTTCCAGCATATCCTTGACCAGCGCATGTATTTCCTCTCGTACCCTATCAGAAACTGGGTAGTACTTCTGTTTGATGGGTCGAGCACCTCCAACATCTATATCGTGCTCAACCCCCACAGTACAGCCTAAAGCCTGTCCTCCGTCAGGAATCAACCTCCTGACGAAGTCTTCGATTTCCTCAAGCTGTGTTTTCGTGGCCTCCCACAGTCCTACCGATGCCAGAAATGTCGTACCATCAATTCCAGCCACTTCCATAGGTACTTTTACTTGGGCGTCCTTCAACCATTACTCATTCTCATCGGGATCCAAAACTGCGCGGAACTCCCTTATAAAGTTCGCGCCTACGTAGCAGTCATCTGTGAGCAGTGGCGTAATGGTGACTCTAATTTTTCTTGTCATTCCCCCTACCTTATAGGGGAACATCACGTAACCAATAATGGGGCATAGGCGCCCGTCGGCGAGCCACATGGCCGCCCGTCCTGGTCACATTAAGCCCGAGTCCCATCTCCGATGCTAATGTTAGCCATAGCTGACCCATGACCGTAGATGAGGTGCCGGTATCATAAAGTGCTCTAATCTTAAAGTCACCTATGTCTACCCGCAACCACCTTCTGGTCTCATCCTCGGGGCCGTATCTACGAGTCGCATCCATCCCTTCATTCGTCGCGCTTTTCAGCGGCTTCTTCCCTTCCGCTGATGCTACGACGATGGGCTTGCTCGTACTCGTGGATTCCTTCGGCAGGGGAGTTTTTTGTGTAGAGGGGCCCGAACCTTTCAGGTCTTCGGGTTGCTCGATCCTTACATCAATCGAGTCTTCCCCCTTCTCCACAACTTGTATATGGCCACCTGGTCCTTCCAGGATGACCACCCTCCTACCCTGCCGAGGGCTGGTATCGGACTCAATCGCCTTCTCCTTTGAGGTACCGCTAGGTCCCGGGCTCTCTTGGTGCCCTACCGGGACCTGTTTGGATCCCTTGGTCGCCGAAAACTTGCTCTTTCCCGTCGACGATCCGCAGCGAGAGGTCGAATCTACTGGAGGCGCGAAGATGACCTTTTTTCTTCGCTCTCCTTACCGTTTCTCTTGTTGCAATCTGGGCAGAATTTACGGCTGAAACCTAGTTTGCCACAAGCGGATAACTGGAGAGGCTTCTTGAAGTCGATTTTCCGCCTCTGTCCTTCTCGCCGCTCGCCAGGAGACCTGGGAGAAGGAGAATTCTTCATTCCCCCACGCTATCATCTTTTACGCAGTTCTGGAGGGCTGTCCTGCCTTTCTTTGGCCAATTTGCGCAGGATTCTCTCAATGCCCTTCAGACGCTCCTCCATCTTCTTATCTGAAGTAGAGGTTTGTGTAGCTGATACCGTTGCTTGCTCGGTAGGCTTCCCGGCAGGGTTCTCCACGCTCTGTCCGCGCTACGGATCTCCCTCCTTCTTCGCACGCACCGTCCCTTCATCACCAGCCGTTCAGGTGATGGTCACCAGGTGATGGTCGCAGTTTTCCTCTGCGCTAAGGTTTTCCAACTCGTCACAGATTGTATCGAGCCATGCTTGTCGGGTGCGCCTCCTGCGCCCTGCCACCTCTTTACTGCGCGTGGTCTTCTCAAAATCTGTGACGGTGTACTCCCCCAGCAACCATTTCCCAAGCCTAGCCGCCTGCTGGATGACACTTCCAGCCTTGCGCAGCTCTAGATCCGCCTAGTAGCGTTTGCGCTAGTCGTTCGAACTAACATCGCAATTGTACGAATCGCGAACGGATCGATTAATCGAATCGATTACCGTTGCAGTTGTCAAAAAATATTGATATAAACCGAAGATATTGCTGTAATAGTATTTTAGGGGTTATTTTTGTGAGTGATTTTTCAGCTCTTACATTTATTTTCCTACAGACTAACATTGTCATTGTCTAGCCCACTTTTAAGCATCATAGCATATGGAAAATCAGCAAAACTGGTCATCGGGAACTAGTCATATAGTATTAATAGCGTTTAGGGGTATTTCATGCTTGAAATACATAAAATTGAAAAAACGCTGAAACATGTCAATTTTGATTTTACTATTTCCTACAAAAAAAATTATTTTTCAATTTTTTTATGATAGTTTTGCGACTCTGTAAACGAAAAATCTATTCAAAAAAAGTTTTTCCCCTGTACATCGTAGGGATTGCAACCCGCCAAATCCAAAACTATGCGATTTTGTTATTTTTTAAATAAAAAATTGTTTCCATTTTGTTTCATAAAAAAAGATTCATTACAACCAAAGTTACTGCTTTAGGGGTGACTTTTGAGGGTGGTTTTCATCCCCTAGACAGCTTTTTCCGTGTCTCTTATTTTTTTATAAAGTATAACATATCTCAATTGCAACAAAATTGAAGGTGGACGGTTGGGCATGTTCCCTTGTAAGTCGGTCAGCATTAATGGATGAGAGAGATCTAGCCCTACTCTTGTCTAATTTTCAATGCGGACGGAAATGAAAATTTCCATTAATATGTAAGATAGGACTCTTTCATATAATAAAATTACTTCCAATATCGAACGTAGGGGACGAAAACTGAAAATTATACCAATTTTCATTCTGTAAGAGAGGGATGCAAGGAAATTATACTTTTTGCTAACTCAAATTGACCACGTTCTTTAGGCTTCATGCACTGTTTACTATGATAGCCGATAGGGTAATGATCCGCAAATTTTAAGTCAGCGTTAAAAAAATCTAGAGTATCAGAGTATACGGGAAAAAATTATAGATTTAAATTTTTACGTATATGCGTGCGTGCGTCCGTGTGTGTATGTGCGCGCGCGCGCATGTGTTTGTGTGTGTGTGTTTATACAATCAAAGATATCATTCATTTTTGTGAGAGGACACACATAAGCAAAAATAATTCTATCATGCATACATATACTCGTATCTCGACTCGTGTTCGTTGATATCGATAATTATAACATTAAATTAAAGATTTCAAATAATTACTCTATTAAATACACTGCCGTCGGACGACTTTTGGCCACCCTAACCAAAATTAGCAAAACTTCAAAGTTTTATATCTTGGCTCCAAAACATGCTATAGCAACCGACGGGATATAATTTTAAAGGTCTTTTGTAGAGCTTTTCAACAAAATAAAATACATATATGATTTTCCTTTTTTTATGAGTTGTGTATCATAAATAAAATTAATTTTTCCGTTTTTTCTCTCGAACTTTAAAGCGATGTACTTTTCGAGACTTTATCGGACAAGAAAACTAGATATATTATTCAACAGCTTGTTTTAAAAGCTACAAAATCCATGTATGGGAAAATTTTTTTAACTTGATTTTTACGAGCTACAAATCCTTTTACAAAAAACTAACCTTTTCATAAAATTCGTTGTACCTCTGAAAGTTGTGATTATAAAAAAAAATTTAGTAGAAAAAAATATTTTTTTTCAAGGACTAACTGCTGATTTACTTGAAAAATAAAAAACGATTATTTTTTTTTATTTTTTAATAACTTTTTTAGACATAAAAATGTATTTAATGCATAAATATACATAAAAAAGAAAATTCTGATTATTAAAAATGAAAATAACACACAATAGCTATATTAATTTGTCAATATAGAAAAATTCGCAATAGAAACAGTCTTTACATTTTTTTAAATTTATGATTCGAAAGCTTTACAAAAGACCTTTAAAACCATATCCCGTCAGTTGTAGTAGCATGTTTTAAAGCCGAGATATAAAACTTTGAAATTTTGCTAATTTTGATCTAGGGTGAGTAAAAATCATTCAACGGCAGTGTAAATATGATTTGTAAATTGACGTTTATTTACATAGTATTGCTCTTTTACAGTTTAATATTAACGATTTTATTGGCATTTTTTTATACAAAAACAATGGACAACTGTAGTAAGGACTGATGTAGCATATTTTCTATGAAGGCACGTTATTAAAAAATTAATTATTTAACATTTAAATTCATTTCAAAGAACAAATACCATGAGCATTAGAATGATTTAAATGGATCTTCCGAAACACTTCTTTCATAATAAAATTATATTTTTTTGAAAGTATAATTATTTGTCCTTTTAATTCTTCTATTTGATTTGATAATTTATCATTTATAAACATTTGTTCTGCTAGAAATTTTGATAATTTATTGTTATCTTCTAAATGTTTCAATTTCTCAGATGTCAGGTTTTCAATTTTGAGGTTCATTTGTTCGAAGTTTTCCGTCAGAGGAATTTGATTGTATTCTATTGCGGCATATTTGTTTTGTAATTTTTGATAGTCGTTGAAAAGTTGAACATTTTTATCTGTAAGTTTTTGAACAAATTCTAGTGCTTGTACTTCTCTGTAACGTTGCATTTCTAAATCTAATTTTACTTCTGCTACATTAGTATGAAGTTGTTCCATTGCAAATTCCAATTCACGAATACGATCTTCCTTGCTGTAACAAAAACCAACACATGAGTTTTCATATACTTTAAATTAAACTCCAAGAATTAAAAATATTATGTAATGATCTATGTATGTGTATAAGAAGGCGAAAATTATTGGATAATTATGCCCAAAATGCAAATAAAGTTAAATTATTTATAAATTATAAATGATGAAACTATATCGAATTTATTACTGTGTATATATATTATTAAAGAAATAAATACTTCAATTATGTTTCTGAATCAATCATTTTTTTATTTATTTATTCTTAAATCTACATAGAATTATTCATACTAAAATATTACCATTTTTTTAAAGTTCAGTTTTATCTCTCCTGCTATTATGCAAAATATCAAATTCTAACCACTTCATAATAACTTAGTTACGAGGTCTTTTAATCATTTTTCAACTAGGTATTGTAATGCGGTACATTACAAGGCCTTCCCTGGGTGCTGCATTATTTGCAACACCTCGGAAAGGCCATCCCCGTCCCTTGCCGCCCCGTAACCGGTTAAAAAAATTAAAGATAAACGAACCCTATATAAAACAATTACCCCTTTTTATGTCCGAACAACCACGCCGGAGAGATGGGCAAAACAAAACTCGTCAAACGCGATCCGACGGACGCTCAAAGAGCAGACAGAAAAAAAGGAGCGCACCACGGAAAAAGAGAGCGCACGCCCACACTCACTCACATACACTCCCGACCACGTGTTCCCGACCGGCGAAAGAAAAATGCAAAACTTGACTGGGAAATGCAACGGAAATGCATGTTGATGACACATGCAGATCCGTTACACTCCCAGACACCAACACTAACACTCACGAGGCACTGACACTCCAGGGGCGAGCAGAAAATCGCCGATGAAGTGGCAGCCGGTAATCAGCTGTGTCGGGCTGCCGAACACCATCGGCGACATTCTGAGCGCCACACACAAGAAATACAGCAACCGCACACACAAACACCTGGGAGAACATCACTAAACCAACACGGGAGCGCCCCAGGAGGAGCTCCAACAACCGACACAAGGACACGAGACGTACGCGCTAGAAACGGAGCTGCCATCTTGAAGCGCCGAGACAGACTGAGAGCGAGAGCGAACGAGACAGACTGAGAGCGAGCGAGCGAGACAGAGCGAGCGAAGTAGACTAAGCAAGAGCGAGCGAGACAGACTGAGACAGAGCGAGCGAGACAGAGCGAGCGAAATAGACTAAACAAGAGCGAGCGAGACAGACGATACAAAATGATAGATAGAATAATATGCAAATGCGAAGATGAGGGCGCTACAAATGAAACGGCGTATATTATATACGTATCTATGACACAATAAAATTAAAATTATGATTGGAAAATAATGAGCGTGGAATAAATACCGAATTGTAAAATTCGCACGCGACCGACACCCCTATTATGATAGCGAGCGACAACTACCCCCTTTAGGTTTGAATAATAATTTAACTGACCGAATTCGAACCTTTGACAAAATTCGCTAGTGACGTCACGACTAATGAGCAAATTAGAATAAAATTTGATTTCCATCCGGATAGACAAATAGATAAGAGTAGGGCTAGATCTTTTCCAACAACTAACGATAGCTACCTTAGTGGGGGGTGAGAGAGGGTAAATAACGACGAAAGTAGGAGAGCTAAGGAGCGCGCTGTATCCTTCTAATTTACATACGGACCAATAATAAAATATTCGGAGGGCGCTACCGATATCCGAATTAGCATACCAACCAATAATAACATTTCTTCTCGGAAAGAGGAGAAGAAAAGCGATCTTTGACCGCGAGAAGCCGATTCTCGTCCATTTTGCCACTGAATATCTAGATAGAAGGAGCCTCTATCAGCTAATCTCACTGCAGAATTATTAGCGCTAGACGCCTTCCATATTCTTTTTGACAATTTTGTTTGCCAATACCGCAAGGAAAAATTGTAAGTAGGCAAAGTGCTATTCACTTTAATCGCGGAGTGCGGGGATAAATCTCTCAGTGCTGTAGGTCGTCGCGACGCGTGGATCCGTCGACGCCGGTGCCTATCGAATCGCGCTGACCTGACCGCCATTCCGTATATTTTAAAGTGAGTGTTAGATGTTACGAATGAAAATTGCGATTTAGGATTCGCACTGACCTGTCGTTAACTATCTTATTACGAACGTAGGTTTAACCGAATCAAATTGTCTTGATTATTTAGTTGTGTTGATCTTCCCGCCATTTAGCAAACAGGACGTGAGCGTTAGGATTAACCAATGAAAATTGTGATTTAGGATATTCGCACTGACCTTTCGCTGACAAATTGCCGCGAACGTAGAATTAGTCAAATAAACTCACCCTGCCTATTTAATCGTGCTGACTTTTTCGCCATTTCATAAATCTAACGTACGTGTTAAGTTTATACGAATTAGAAGCAGTGGTTGAGTTATTCTCGCTGACCTTTCGCTGACAAGTTATCATGAGAGTAGGATTAGCCAAATAGGATTACCGTGCTGACCTTTCCGCCATTTCATGAACCGAGCGTGAGCGGTAAGATCAGACAAAGGAAATTCGCGATTGAGTTATTTGCGCTGACCCTCCCTCTTTGTTAATCGAAGACCGACCGGAAAAATTATTAACATTCCGATTAATTTGTATCCTTACGGATTTATGAGTATTCAGAATCTTACCGACCATATTTACTCCGATCTCTTATGTGAGAATTATTAATACATCAATAAAGTGATTAATTATCTTTATATGTAAAATTTACTTTGATATCCTACCTCTACTGCATGCTAGCGATTTGATTACATTGATGCCGCGAGCGATTACATACGGGTACAACTAATTCGCTGTATTTTCGGGTCACTAGATAGGTAACATACGCGCGAATTCTAACGTCCTCACGACCTGAATTAAGGAGCCATCACCTGAGCTGCCGGCATACTATAATTAAGGAGGAAAAATAGAGAAGGAGAGTTGGACACCAAGGCCTGAAGTGAGGATACCACGCGTATCCCCCGTCTGCCCACCCTGCGCAGTCGCCGTTAAGCAGACCGGGATACGCGATAACCCTACTGGCCTTAACCCCGACGATCGCCGTAATTAGCCGACGGTCTGGCGCCCTAAATAATCGGGGGTAGAGCCAAACAGGCCTTGTGGCGGAAGAAACTCGGAGCGCAGTTAAAACCCCCGAAATTCCCTGCTACAATTGTCAGTTATCTTCCTCCATGCTCCTAATCCCCGCTACGTTCCAGAATAGTATCTTTACTCCCTCCCTTCCCTCCTCTACCTCTCTCTTTTTTCCCTATTGTTTTCGAAACCCTTCCGCCCTTTTTCCTATCATTTTTCCCTCTTTCTCGCTCCACCACCATTCTTCTTCCTCTGACTTTAACCCGATATGCTACATCTTTACCTCTTTACCTTTACTTTTTATTTCTCCCGCTTTCCTTGTTACTTCTTCTGCTTCCACGTCCAGTCCTGAGCTATGTAGATCTTTTTCTGTCCCAGCTTCTTTTTCCTCTTCATAATTCCTTCCTTTTGTTCACATGAGGGGCATATAATTAGCCACATCTGTTTTCCTCTTTCTCTTCGATCATCCCTCCACGCTGTCCCTCCTATTCTTCTCAGATTCACTATCTCCCCTTTCATTTCTAGTTCCTCCCTTAACCAGTCCTCTGCCTCTCCCTTTTTTCCCATCTTAACCCACCCTCTAAATCTGTCACTGTTATATTGTTTATCCTACTTTCTCTATCCATTTTTTTCTCATATATTCTATTTCTTCCTTATTGCCTACTTCTGTTCATCTTTGCTTCTCGTTTCCTCCTTCTATACTTTCTTTTAGTTTTACGCACTCTTATTCCAACTGGTTCATCCTCTCTTACCATTTTTCCTGCAGTTTCTTTTCTCTAAGTTCTGCTTTTTCCCTTTCTTTTTTAGTCTCTCTCCTTCTTTCTTCTCTCTCTCCCCTCACTTCCACTTTTGCATCTTTTTGCCTCTCTCATTTCTCCTCTAATATTCTCCCTCAACCCTTATCCGCTCTCTCTTATATATATATATATATATACACAGAAAAAAAGAAATTTCAAATAAATAAGTAAAAATAAAGAATCGCAGTACAGATTTCCGTACAAATAAGTCTTCGGAGCAAAGTGGTATTCCCGGAAAGGTGTTCAACCGTTATAAAGCGGCAGGCAACAGCGAGGCTCTTCGATAGACTCGGATAAACCAACGTCGCTCAGCGGTTACAATCCTGCTTACTGCGGAGCACTCGATTGTTAGGAATCCAAGACATCATAGCCATCATGCGCGCATTATAGCTGATTCTTGAGGAGTGGAAAGAAAGAGAAGAGGTCTCGGGTGCCTCAGCTGCCTCACCGTTCCTTCTAATGGGCTCGGGCGTTGGTGGCGCTGAAGCAAATGTCGGTGGTAGTGCTGCAGTGGCCAGAGACGATTCAGCTCATTAAATCACCAGTCAAAAAAAAACAAACACGAAGAATCCTGCAATGATCCACGACACACTCCCTCCTCCACACCAAAGTCCTCTGTTCTGCTGCCAACGGAGACACACCGAGCTGAATCTTTACATACAATCATTACCACATCCTTCGCTTTGTTATATATCCTCTCTCCTCCCCTCCCGCGGGCCTCTTCGCCTCCACAGCCTGCCGGAAGCTGTGCAGTTAATCCTCCCTAAGCCGCTAGTCCGCCACCACAAATGATATAAACAAGGATTAGTAATGCGCTACCGCAATTTTTACATCGATGCCCGGCTTAACGATAGCGCGCGCAGATAGCAAAAGGCCACGGACGACAGGGAAATAGCTACGAATAAAGCGATTTCACCGTCATATTATAATAAATACTAAAGGCTGTTGTCTTGTCCTCGGCTCCTGTGCTATGCTGTTGATTAGCGATTATTCTTGAGCTACTAATAGCACTGGGCTGATTCCAACTAAACTTGCGTGTGTTGAGATGGACTCAGCACAATTCATCGATCACGCAGTGCATGACCTTGCACTTGACTTTCCCA